GACAGGAGGTCGTGCTGAGTGACTGACAGGAGGTCGTGCTGAGTGACAGGAGGTCGTGCTGAGTGACAGGAGGTCGTGCTGAGTGACAGGAGGTCGTCCTGTCAGGATAAGGTGTAAAACGCATTTACAGGGTCACTGCAGATCGCAGAAGGTGGGGAAGGAAATTGGGGTAAGCAGAATTCTATGCTGACCCCAGAGACTGAGGCCTCTGTAGAAGCCCGTTCTGTAGAGTGGGCAGAGCCAGAGTGACGGGTCTCTCTTCCAAGGGCAGCTCAACAAAACACCACAGCAAAAGTAGGTACTGTAGTAAGTAGATATTGAGAATGGTGATATTGAGAAGAGTTTTTTTTTCTTTTTGTGGTTTATTGTTTGATATATCTCTTTTTGTCATTTCAACCCGTTTGGATTTTTCTTAAGGGTTATATTTTCAGCATTAACTAAATATTATTTTCATTTTCTACAAAGTTTTCTTAGCATAAGAATATCTAAACTGATAAAAATATTTGTACTTGGAACTAGTGATTTAACAGCATTGCTTATTTCCTGAAATGTTTGTTCAGCTTTCTCTAGCCAATTTCTTGTGGGATGATGGCCTTTACACTGCATTCATTGGCATCAAAATGCACTGCACACCAGTTGGTCCCTTTCCTAAAAGGCTCAAGGAAATTTTTAAGTCCAAATTGGAAGAGTCAAGGGAAGGGTTCATCCATTAGCTAATTCAGGAAGCTATAAAAGTCTTCACGTTGCTGCAGATTAGCTTTATTTTCAAAACAGGAGGAGCATTATTGTCTGCTTTAATTGAAAAGCTGAACCTAAACTTGAATTTCCTTCTTTTCAAAGGTTAGTCTCTTATCTTTTCCTTACACTGTTTTATGTGTGGAAATTTTTGGATGGTCACTATTTTTTGTTATGTGATTATAATTGTATAGCATAATGTCCAACTACAGTAACAAGTTGAAAAACAGATAAGCTTAGAAATTAATGTATTCACTCATTTCAATCCATGGATATTCACTAGGTATCAACCAGGCAGCTTAAACCTTCCAGGTGCTTATTACTCGACCAGTGTAAGACAAAACCATAAAAGCATGTGGTAAAGGCACTAACAGAGATCTAGGCCGTCACTGGTCACCAAGAAGGATGGTGTAAGCATGCCTGAGAAGTCCAGGGAGGGCTTCACACAGGAGGTAGCCAGTGGGAAAGGGAGGACCTTTCCCCAGGGGAAGCAGCCTTTGTGACAATTGGCATGTGTGTGCAGAAGGCCTGGGTCTCACAGTCGCCAAGAGTGTTCAGCAAGACTGACATACAGCTTACAGGTAAGTACCTGCCCTGAAGTCTCCATCTTTACCTGCAGGACCCCCCATTCGACTGAGGCTTCGGGGCACAGGACTCTGCCGTTTCCTGCTGTGACCTCAGCGGGAAGCCCAGTCCTGGTGCACAGTTTAGAACCAGTCAGTGTTTGTGGAGCAGACAAATAAGGGGAAAATGAGGGAGCGATTGCAGCCTCAGACTCGGAGATGCTAAGTACCGATGCTCCCTAATAATTCTGAAACACAGCCAGACTCCCAGTCAGCTTTTATTTAGCCTTAATCTCTCCTAGCCCCTGAAAGGTAATCAACACACTGGTAATCCATACGCGACGTTAGTGAGAATAACACAATTTAGGGCAACAAACTGCAGACCGTTGTGACAAGATGGTTTGTTTAGAATCGCATCCAGCGGGGGACATGGCCAGGAAGCGGGTCGCCGTGATCGGAGCTGGGATCAGTGGACTGGCTGCCATCAAGTGCTGCCTGGATGAGGGTCTGGAGCCCACCTGCTTTGAAAGGAATGACGACATCGGAGGCCTGTGGAAATTTCAAGTAAGTCTGGGTTTTATCTGACTTTAAGCTGTGCTGTCTCGAACTGTGACAACCAGGGTAAAGTTTGCCTAGGAGGCACGTACAGCACTCTGCAGGTGAAGAACTGGTAACGACCCCAAGCTTGTTTGCATTCTGACTGAGGCAACGTGCATGTGTGACAGTTCTGGATTAGGCACTGGGTGCCCGGCCAGCCATGTATATGGTTTGTTTCTCTTCTTAATTGTTACTTTTTACTTTATGTATTTTGAAACCATGCCACCAGGTTCATTTCATTGTACTATCTTTGTACCTCCGTGGAATGGCCCTGTATGTCGCTGTGCTCTCTGGCTCATTATCTCCCTGGTTGGCTCCCAAGGCAGCCACTCCCGTGGCTTCTGCCTGGGGTTCTCCCGTGCAAGCATCTCTGGTGCAGCCTTCTCTCTTACAGCTGGCCTAAGGAAGGTGTGCCTCTGTTGGAGGGCCTTTCCCGTTAGTGTTATTGAAGGGCTACATGTCATGGGGTATGAATACGTGGAGGTCAGATTCACTGTCTTGCATCTTTGTTTCATACCTTTATCATGTTTATCCCCCTTTTCTTTCTTCTGTTGTATCTTGGTGTGGTCCATCCTCTGTTCTCTTTGGGCACTGGTTTTTAGATGTCCATCCTCACTCTCTTGGGAACGGCTCCCTGGATATCATAAATGCACCTTGACAGTGCTATCCACTTTGTGGGTACTTCCCCCACTTTCTGAGCAAAGCAAGGATCTTAAAACAGGGTGGCCTCCTTTCCCTTCCCACCTTCCTGGTCTGTCAGGAACCCCATGAGCAGGATCAGTGGTGTTCATCAGGCGCCTGCAGTCTCCACGGCACTGCCTCAGCCCCCGGCGTCCCCCTGTGCTTGCTCCCCTCAGTCTTGTCCCTTCCCCGTCAGCCCAGGAGCTTCCCCACACTGTCCCTGGTGCTGGGCCGCCGCAAAAGACCCTCAGCTTTCCTCGTCAGGAGACGTGTGAGCCACTTCCACTTCTGAAGGGTGTGTCACTGGGCTTCCAAGTGGACGTGGACGTTCTTATTTTAGCATTTTAAAGGCGTGTTTCTGGCTTCCGTCATTCCTACTGAGAAGTCCCTGGGGGTCTTACTGCTGACTCAGGGTAACTTGGCTCCAGCAGGAGGGACTTAGAGAACACAGAGAATACAGGGCCAGGTACCACTTATTACACAGGAGGCCGTTTCTCTTTAAGATAGTTTATTTTGATTGTCTTATAAATTTTATTATATCAAGAGAAACTTTCTCCTGTAGAAAAACCCTTCAGAGAAAATGCCGAGTATCTACAAATCCGTGACCATCAACACGTCCAAGGAGATGATGTGCTTCAGTGACTTCCCCGTACCGGACCATTTCCCCAACTACATGCACAACTCCAAACTCATGGAGTACTTCAGGATGTACGCCAGCCACTTTGGCCTCCTGAAATACATTTGCTTCAAGGTAAACATACAGCGTTGCATTGTGTGTGTGTGTGCGCGCGCGTGTGTGTGTGTGTGTGCGCGCGTGTGTGTGTGTGTGTGTATGCACGTGTGCACCCAAACTCACTGGCGCTGGCTGGGCAGTTAAACCTGGCCTCTTCTGTTGTGACCAGAGGAAGCCAGCCTCCTGAGCGTCCCCTGGAGGGTCACGGCTTGTCATGAAACGGTTTTCAGCCTCTCACTTGGATGTGGGATTGCAAGGTTCTGTTGTAAGAGCCTGTTCTGGTGACACTCCAGCATGGCACGGTCACGGCCCTCTCTTTCAGTCTCACATTCGACATGTGTAAGAATGTGAAAAAACGTGACTGGCAAGTCACGTCCCTGTAGAGTGGGACCACAGCTTCTCACAAGGAAGGTGTTCGCCAGGACCATCGAGTCCCCCCACCAGGGAGCAGCCCCTCTGCTTGGGTGCAGCCTGGTTCCTCTCTGAAACCCCGAGCCACAGGCTGGGGCGAGCACAGACCTGGGGGAGCACAGCCAAAGGAGGACAGGTCTGGGGGGCACAGGCCTGGAGAAACACAGGCCTGGGAGGAGCACAGCCTTGGAGGAGCACATGCTGAGAAAGGACAGGTCTGTGCTGAACCTGCGGAGCCGCCTGCGTCCCGGAGGAGGAACCACTGTGGCTCCTTCACCCTCCCTCCATGCACAGCCGGGCTCCTCTGTTTCTGTTCCTCGGAAAACTAGGTTTTAGAGAAATACTCAGAATATCCTGAAAATGTGCTGCAGAAACGTGGAGAGGGGCCGGGAGGGCAGGAGTGCCGCCGATGCCCCGCGGGGTGACTGCTCAGAGCTGGGGCTTGGGCAGGGACTGGGCTGGAGTGACAGCGAGTCCCCCTGTGCCTGTTCTCAGACCAGAGTGCAGAGCGTGCGCAAGTGCCCGGACTTCCCCGTCAGCGGACAGTGGGACGTGGTGGTGGAGGCCGAGGGCCAGCGGGAGTCGCTGCTCTTCCATGGGGTCCTGGTCTGCAGTGGGCACCACACGGACCCCCACCTGCCACTGCAGGCCTTCCCAGGTGCGTGGCCGAGGCTGGGTGGGAAGTGCTTTCCCTGTCAACGAGGGGCACAAGGGCGGGACGGATTCGGTCAGTCTCAGTGCACTTTCCCTGGGAGGGCACAGCCACGGCTGCGCTGCGCTCTGTTAGGGGACAGGGGAGCTCCCGAGACAGGAAATGGGTGACAGGCGGCTCCCACTCTTGGCTCCTGTGGTCTCCTGCAGCTTCAGATTCGTGGTTGACATAAAGTGGCCACATGGAAGTGGTTTAGTTTCATGTGTATTTGTTTGATTTCACTCTAAGAGAAAGTGAAATCGATTATTTAAAAAGGGATAAATGGCAAGCGCAGCCAGGGGCCGGAGACCCTCAGACCAGAGCCCCTGAGCCCACAGAGGGCCTCCACCAACGCTCTCGGCATGGACCTTCCTGGGGACTGAAACCCAGCGGGCACCGGCCTCTCCCGCCCCTCTGCCTGGCAGTGCCTCCCAGGACCCCACTTCAGCTCCCCTCCCCAGCCTCCTCGCCCCTTCCTGCTCGGCGCCCTCTATCCCCCCACTGCCGTCAGGACCCAGCCAGGACACATCTGCCCTCTGTGCCTTCCCAGGGTTCAGGAGAAACTCTTTGAGGACTGAAGAAAAGTAGACGGGGGAATTCAAGTTCAGTCGAGAACTTGAACGTGGATTTTGGTTGTTCAGCTGACAAATACCAAACCTTACCATGTCTCCCCACAAACATTTGCAATATAAACGTACTTGGCCTTCTGAATGCTAAAATGCAACGTATTCTGGAAATCCTCCATAATCACGGCATGATGGTGGACTATCACACTTATCAGCCTCCTTTTGACTTGCTTCCTGGCTGAGAAAGAGTACCCATGGGGAGACACGTGGGTGTGCATGTTTGCACAGTTCAGGGGTGAGACACAAACGTGTGCAGAGTGACGCAGCCTGGGAATGCTGGCAGGGAGCGGGACCGCTGTGAGGGCCTCCGCCCAGCCAGGCTCTAGGCACTCGGAACAGCGGAGACATCCAACGAAGAGAGGGCCTCTGTCCCCCCAGAGCCTCTGTGCCCTCTGTGCCCTCTGTCCCCT